CCTGGATCTTCTCTTCTCTTCGCTGACTCTTCCCCTCTCTGCTTTTCATCTGTCCATATTGTCGGAAGTTCGACTTCTAAACTTCCTTCGATTATTATTGTGATTGTGCTGGTGGAAGGTGCTGGTGCTGTATTGATGATGATGATGATGATGATGACGACGACGACGACGACGACGATGACAGTGATAATATTATAATTGTGCTGGTGACGACGGTGCTGCTGCTGGTGATGATGACCATCATTGGTGATGACAAGGATGATAATAATGATGATGATGAAGATGATGATGATGATTGTGCAAAAACAAAAATGCTCGTGCTGGTGATGGTGATGGTGATGATGATGATGATGATCATGATGATGATGATGATGATTCCGATGATGATGATGATGATGATGATGACAATGGTGATGACGATGATGATGATGATGATGTTGATGATGGTGATGATGATGATGTTGATGATGGTGATGATGATTGTGCTGGTAACGATGGTGCTGGTGCTGATGATATTGATGACAATGATGACAATAAAGATGATGATGATGATGATGATGATGATGATGAGGATGACGATCACGTTCATGCAGCTGATGATGATGATGATCAAAATGATGATGATTGTGCTGGTGATGATGATGATGATGATGGTGGTGGTGATGATGATTCTGCTGGTGGCGATGGTGCTGGTGCTGGTGATGATGACAATGGTGATGATGATGGTGCTGATGATGGTCATGATGATCATGATGGTCATGATCATGAGAATGATGATGATGCAGATGATCACGTTGATCATGCTGATGATGGTTATCATCATGATGATGATGATTGTGCTTGTGACGATGGCGCTGGTGCTTGTGATGATGATCATTATTGTGATGATTGTGCTGGTGACGATGGTTCTGGTGCTAGTGATGATGATGATGGTGATGATGATGATGATTGTGCTGGTGACAATGGGGCTGGTGCTGGTGATAATGATGATGATGATGGTGATGACCATGATGAAGATGATTCTGCTGGTGACGATGGTGCTGGTTCTGGTGCTGGTGATGACAATGATGATCATCATCATCATCATGATCATGACTGTGCTGGTGACGATGATGCTGGTGCTGGTGCTGATGCTGATGATGCTGATGATGCTGATGATGATGATGATGATGTTGATGTTTGTGCCGGATTGTGCCGGTGACGATGGTGTCGGTCCTGGTGATGACGATGATGACCTTGATGATGATGATGATTGTGCTGGGGACGATGGTGCTGGAGCTGGTGATGATGATAATGATGATGATAATGCTGATGATAATGACAATGGTGATGATGATGACGAGGATGATGATGATGATGATGATGATGATGATGGTGGTTATTCTGCTGGTGACGATGACGACAATGATGATGATGACAATGATGATGATGATGAAGATGACGATGATGATGCTGATGATGATGGTGATTGTGCTAGTGACTTTGGTGCTGGTGCTGGTGATGGTGATGATGATGATTATGATAATGACGATGACGATAACGATGACGATGATGATGACAATGATGATGGTGATGGTGCTGATGATGATGATGTTGATGGTGATGATGATGGTGATGAGGATGATGACGACGACAACAATGATGATAATGATGATGATGGTGATGATCGTGATGATGATGATGATGGTGGCGACGGTGATGACGATGATGACGATGATGACGATGATGACGATGATGATGATGATGACGATGATGATGATGTTGATGATGATAAGATTGTGCTGGTGATGCCGGTGGTGATGGTGAAGGTGGCCTCAATGGTGGCCACGAAGGTGGTCATGATGATGGCGGTGATGCTGACGGTGATGCTGACGGTGGTCATGACTCATGACCGTATGTTGATGTTTTGGATGAGGATCACCAGTCACAAGCGTGCCAATTCGACAGTCGCAAGCAAGACCCCGCCCTTACGGTAAGTATAGTCGCTAATTAAATGTCTGGTTACATGCTGCAACGCCAAGACAAGCGTCCGGATCTTCGATCTGACAGCCCGTGCAAGAATGGACCAGCTGCGACAAAGTGATCAACTTGTGAGAATTCATAATTGTCTCATTTGTGTGGCGAATAGTGAGCTGCCTGGGCGGTGTCACTCAAGTGGTTTCACTTCGACAGGTGCAAATCAAATATTACAGTCCTGCCACTACTTGTTCTGCACCCCTGCACCAGGGTATGCAATCTACTCTACTACTGCTGCAATCTGCTTGTCCGTATTGCTCTGATTTGAGCTCTGAGCAAAGCACAGTGCACAAAACGAACCGCGGCGATACATTTGCTCAGCAGCGGCTGTGATGCCAATCATTTTCAGGGAGTCTTGGACGGCCTTGGAAATCATGTCTGGCACCGAGCTTGGCTGTGACAAAACCCCCGATTGCGATAGGAAAACCATCTGGGTCATCATTCTTCATTGATGCTGATTGCCACGTCTGATTGCCATGGTAAGTGGCACAGCTGGAACAGATCTCAATAAATTGAAATGGACAAAGCGAACATGCACATCCTGAGCTCAAAAATAGGTTGAAATCCATCCGGACTGAGGCTTCGGCCACCGGTAAGCGGCTCACTTTGTTGGCATTCTTGTGGAGTGGGGAGAAAATGCGATCAACCTTTGGGGTGTGACAAGTTGCTTCCAAAGAGTAAGTCTTTGGGAGTTGCTCGAGTTGCTCGAGCTGCTCGGGTTGCTCACTTCATGACATTTCAGTAAGCTTCCAATTTTGGGGATTCGGGCTGTGCAAGCATCTAAGTTCACTGCATCGCTCGAATCAAGATCATGCAGAGCGGAGAAGCCGAGGTCATGTTCCCTGAGCTTGGGAGTCGCTCCAAGATGACCCGAGAGACCGACTGAAACATGGACCAATGATTTACAAATTGAAGCTACTAGCAGGAGTTAGTAAGTAGAGCACACATGTCCTTGTATTTCTTTTCTGCTGCCAAGATACATGCCTAAAACGACTTTGTCTGCTTTGACTTTGAGGACAACTTCCCCAGAAACAATGCTTGCACCGGAAAAACGAGATTCCCCGGTGTATATTGTATTATATATAATTAATTTTTTATTACGTTGCATTTTAAAGTATACTGTATATTTTGATTCTGGTTGAATTAGGGAACCTCACAGAACCGTCAGGATGGGCACAGCAACTGCTGCAAAGGTGCCCTGGGGGTGTGTGACCTGGATGCCGGAAGGGCTTTGCTTCCAAAACGAGAAAGTTCAAGTAGAAGACCTGGAAACTTTAGACTTTGGATTCTTTGGGTTGATCAAACTCTCTCCCTCTCCGCCGTCTCACGGAGACAAGCAGGCTGATCAAACTGCACTAGGGCTTTGAATGGCTTTGAGGGGTTTCATGTGGTTTCATCTGTTCTGAACCTGCAAGAGATACATGCCTCATGCAGGCTACAAATGCTGAGCCCCATTCGCGATCGTCTGGCGTCGCATCTTTGTAGTTGCTAGGAGCACCCGCCTAGCTCTGGGAATCACACGTCAGCAATCATCAGCACATGTTGATGCAATGAGAAAAAAATCTAAGAGTGAAACACTAGCAGATCTGGCTGCGTTGTGCTTCGCATCTCGGGCCATGTCCAGCCATGTCCTACGCTTCCATCTCAAGAAGTGCGGCTCAGCGTCTTCACTCCACTCTTGACGACATGAAGCAAAGCATCGTCAGTTAGTGCTGATCAGTGCTGCCCTGCTGAAAGAGTATTATGAACATGTTGACTGTGTCGGTGGATCACTCATGATCATGTAATCTGTTGATTCAGTTTCAAATGAGGTCCTGCAAGCCAGACTCAGGAAACCGAAGGGCAACAGCCAACAGCTGACATGCTTCATTACGAGGCCTATGCTTAGAGTTTCTCCCAACATGAGACTGAGAGCCATGAGGAATTTCACATCGCTTTCGAAAAGTGTTCTCATTTTAAAATGATGCAGCCTTGAAGCCGCATTCGCAAGGGCTGACAACGCATCTCATCCATTCCTAACCTCAAAACCCCGACCCACGACTATGCACCAAAGCAAATTGAGATGGTCGTGTTTTCTCGTGTTTTTGCAAAGCACCTTTTTGTCAGGTAGGACGATAGGCCACTTCAGGCATCAGATTTGCACGATCGATTTGCCCGGTAGGAGTGAGGTCAGACCATCTACTGGTCGATCGTGTTGTGTCTCTTCGATCTTTCAGAACTTCGGGCAATCTCCGGAATGCTGCACTAGGTTGTACATTCGCCCCTGAACCTGGGGCTGAACCTGTGGCAAAAATGTGCGGCTTGTAGAAAGTGCCGGCTTTTGCTTCGCTGGTGTTTCCCCAAACCACAGGACATCACTAGACTAAGTGCAGAAAATGAGGACTTCATTTTCAGCGTGACATTTCGATCCAGGAAAAAACGTCCATCATCGTCCATCTGGTGGAGTCACATGTCACAGGTGCCTGTGCTGCATTCATTGCCGCATGCGGCATTCAGTGCTTTCAGATACGTTCAATAACTGCAATAACTGCAATGCTTCTCCATGCCGTAAACTATGTAGAAAAAGCATGAGGAGTCCAACTCATCGAAAGCCTGTCTTGCAGCGTCCCTGAGGCCTTTGATGCCACCTTTGATGCGCTTTCCAGTGGCCGTATCCGTGACATCAGTGGCCTTGTGAAGCCTTTTGCCTTGGAAAGCTGGGGCACTTTGTGCCAAACATTCAGAATTCGCTAGACTTCCATGCTTCTCTGCCTGAAGCGAGAGCTCGTTCACTGACTTGTCGCTGTGGCTGTGGCTTCCCTGCACCCGCTCTCGTGGACCAAAAGCGTCGCAGGCCTTGAGCGGAATGTACACCTGCAGCATGGGCTTGGCAGCCTTCCAAATGAGATCCTCAGAACCCGCCAGGTTCTCCATCCGCTGAACGCATCTCCAATCAAACATGGCGGTGGACCTCAGGACATCATGGCGCACCAGCAACTACCAGC